CTCTTGGGAGAGAGACAGGCAGAGGCAGAGGCAGAGACACAGCAAGTATGCACAATTTTGTTTATTCATTTTATTGGACTAGTGGAAAACCCATTTCTGCAGGTCCAAAATATAAAGTCTTGCCTGGGAAATACCAGGGTTAAAAACCTGCTGTCACACTGCAGAAGGTACCAACCTTGGACATCCTGAGTAGCTCCAGATTTTCCCTTTGCTTTGCTGCAAAAGCTCACTTTCAAGGAAAACAAAGGTAAAAGGGATATTTGTTTGCAAAAGAGTTGGTGCGATGTATACCTTGTTTACTCTGAGATCCTCAACTTTTTCTTCTTCATTTTCACCCTGTTCTCAGAAAACTGAGCTTTTTCCTGTAGCTCTTGCTGCTCTGGAAAGTGCAAAAGTGCACATTCAATTTTGGGGTGGAAGTTGCCTTTTAGAGGGGGATTTTTGACAAAGCAGTGGATGATATTTGTTTTTGTTTTGTTAGAGAAACATACCACTGTATTGCTACCTTGAAATTGCACAAACACCTTTGCCTCTCACCTAATTTTGGAGTTGAAACTTGCAGTCATAATACTTTAATTCTATTAAGTTCTTTTCAAATGCTGAAAACTTGTGAGTTATTTGACACGATTGTACTTTCTCTAACAAGTTTTTAATGCCTTCATTTGACTTAAAGAATACTCATAACATAATTTCCTTCTTGCAAAGTTTTATTTTTATATACATAACGGTATGTGTGTTTCTCTCTCATGCTTTTTGATTTGATAGGTGGGCATTCATAATGCAATGAGACTAAAATTTTGTATTTTGGATCTATTTACTCATGTTTTGAAAAGCAGGAACAAAACTGCCAGTTCTGCATTTCTGATTGGAATAATTAGAGCAGATTGTGGAGCGATTGTAGTGGATGGTCACAGGCCCCGAGCCCTTCCTCCTTTCCGCCTGCTTCCATTGCCTTGCCCACCTCACCCTCAGCCCAGCTCTACTCTGTGCAAGAAGGAGGCACTGGTTCTGGCTTCCCTTTCGGCCCAAAGGGAAATCCCTTCTAAAGATTCACACAGAAAGGGCCAGTTGTTTAACACTGCTGTGGAAGGGATTAAGAGGGCCAGCTTAAAGCTTAGAAGGTATTAGTTAAAGGGGCTGAAGGCGGAGACAGGAGGTCACAGGTACAGGATGGGGGGACAAGTGGCTGGAAAGCAGCACTTGTGAAAGGGACCTCGGGGTAATTGTCAACAGTGGGCTGCACATGAGCCGGCAGTGTGACGCAGCGGTTAAGAAGGCAAATGCCTCCCTCGGATGTATAGCCAGAAGCGTGGCTTCCAGATCTGGGGGGTGTTGATACCGCTCTGCACGACTCTGGTGCACCCACAGCTGGAGTACTGCCTCCAGTTCTGGGCTCCACAGGAGAGACATGGCTAGGTTAGAACTGGCTTGGTGCAGAGTCACAAGAATGGTAGCCAGCTTGGGAGGGATGACATTTGAAGAGAGATTGAGGGAATTGGGTCTTTTCAGCCTGGAGAAGAGGAGACTCCAAGGGGATCTTTAGAGATTTATAGGTATGTGAGGACATGTCTCATGGACAGCTGTGACCTTTTCTTCTCTGCAATGGAGGGCAGGATGCGTTCCAATGGGGCAAAGCTCTAGGAACCAGGCTTCAGGTTGGATGTCAGGAAGTACTTCCTGATGGATAGGACCCCTAGGATATGGAATGAGCTTCCAAGGAAGGTGGTGGAGGCCCCATCAGTGAGGGTGTTTAAGGAAAGATTGGGCAACCACATGTTGGGGATTACATGAGCAGAGCTGGCTGGAGCCAGGGGTCAGACTAAATGGCCCAAGAGACCCCCTTCTGACTTGCTTTCTTTCTATGTTTCTATGAAGATGATTTCAGCATTTGTGGGGTGTGCTGACAGAATAGGTGACTTCCGTGGAGGGAATGGCAGGACGGAGGGGTTAGTGTAACCCTATCCAGCCAATGGTTTAGGGCAGTTTTCCCCAAGCTCTGCCCTCCAGTTGTGTTGGATTGCAACTCACATCCTCCTGAGCCACCACAGCCACTGGCCAGGCTGGGGAATACAGAAATTGTAGTCCCAGCACAGGTTGGAGAAAGCTGTGATTGCTTATGGGGAAACAGCTTGGCAGAGCTCTGAATGGGATGCATTAAAAATCGATAAACACATTCTGAGGTTTGCACTGGACAGAGCTCAGGTTTATGGGACTACTTTACTGGAAGTCCAAGTTCTGCTGGTAGAGTCAGATGCAAAATGGTGGGTCAGGGATCAGAGCCTGCAACCTAATTGATCCATGAGCCTGCACATGCAAGTACAAATTATGGATTAAGGATTTTAACAACACCCTCTGAAACTGCCCAGCAGGGCTGCACAGAGTCCTGCTCAAGAGCAGCTGATTTCTTGTCTGCTTTATGGTGAAAACTCAGCCTGAGCAGTGAGTGGCTGAGATGGGCCCCTCCATGGGGCGCTCCTTTGCTTGCTCTTGTGAGGCGCTTAGGAAACCCTCTTATACTGAGTCAGAGCAGGTTCTCGTTGTTGCCACTGATCGGCAGCTGAGCCTCTGCAAGATTTTAGGCGGGATTCTTTCCTTGCCTTATCTGGAGATCCCCAGGAATGAACCTCTACATGCAAAGCAGGAGCGTGGCCACCAAGCTGTGGCCCTTCCCTGTGATGAAAACATTGTGAGTTAGCAGCCCTTGCCGAACCGTTGCAAACCAGCTGGAGGCCGTCCTCCCAGGCTGACACTGTCCAACCCCTGGGACTTAACATTAAGGTCATAACTAACAGAAGCCCCACTGATTTCAGTGGGTCTGCTCTGAGTGTGATCCAATCTGGATTCGTAGGGAACAAATGCATACCAAAGGCAAGGTTGTAGGTCTGCAGCACGAAAGCGGCACCCGATTGCACATTTGGAGAGAGGATCCTATCTGTGAGCACCACGGAGAAGAGCAAGGTGCTGCAACAGGAGGGCGGGTGGACAGATGCAAGCAGCAGATCAGTTTATATTCACTGTGAATGTTCTGCCCGTGTCTAGAATCTCCGGTGTCTTTTCTGCTTCCAAGGCTGCTATATCTTGCACCACCCTGCAAAATTCTAACAGGATATGCAGCAGAGGCAGGAGGTGGGGATCTGCCTGAACTATAACCATCTAGGCAGGGAATTTCAGGCTCACGGCCAAAATGGTGCTCCAGCAGCCTTGGTTCATTTGGTGGCAGTGGAACAGGTCAGTTCAATTCAGTATTAGGAAAGGGACCAGACATACAACCTGAAATACCCTAATTCTGTTATACGATTAGGATACTGTGTGCAACTCTGGCCAGCCCATTCCGGATAGGATATTGTAGAGCTAGAAAATATCTGAGTAAAAAAAGAAAAAAGTGCCCCCCACAATTAGGAGGTTGATGCATTTTCCTTACGTAAAAAGATACAGGATATTTGAAATGTTTAGCAAAGAACGAGTTAGTTGTATAGTTAAATTGTTGGCTGTTATTACTATCTCCTTGAGGCAGTGAATCCCAGAATTTGTTGGCACCATGTTTGGAGGAGTCTCTTTGGTCTGTTACTTTGTTTTTTGCCCCACGTCCCCTCAAAGGAACAAGCTGGTGTGTGTGCGTCCCCTGCCACTCCCTGGATTTATCCTTGGTTGGTCCTAGTATCTCAGCGTCACCCTGCAGTCCTCATGGTTGAGCAGGGATTTGAACCCAGGCCTCTTCCAACCCTAGTCTGACTCTGCAGCCAGTGCCCCTCCAAAGCCCCGTGCGAGAGTGGAATTTCGTTCTGTCAGAGACGGTGTCGGACTCTCAGGGTTTGACACTATCAGGCAAATGGACGCTGCGGCTTACGTGTTCCACAGCCAGCCCTGTAAAGAGATTTTGTATCCTGTTAAATCTGGCACGCAGGAAGCCAAGAATTTAGCTGGGCCTCCTGCCAAAGGCCTCTGGGAAGGATGCAGCTTATGCAGAGGAAATGGTGGGGGAGAAGTCCCAATAGCCCAAGTGTATCTATGCATTTGAGCCATGGAGGCATTGCTCACACTGGCTGGTCTCTGCAGCGAAGGGCAAAAGCAGTCAAAACGAGGGACGGTTCACACCACAGCAAGACTCACTGAGCTCAGTGGGACTTAGTCTCAGGTAAGTAGGTACGGGAGAACATCTTTCTTCATGAAGCTGGAAATAACAGGGCCATGTTGACTGGCAGTGGCGGCATGGCCCCAGGGAGCAGGGGTGTCTGCTTCTGGGTCTGGTGGATTTGCCTACTGCGGCCCTTCCTAGACTGGCAGTGCGGCCAGCGTGACCTGCCACTGGTTGCTTTGGAACCTACATTTGAGCAAAAAGGAGCAGGGCAAGTTATCCTGCCTAATCTTGGAAGCTAAGCAGGGTTAGGCCTGGTCAGAATCTGGATGGGTGACTGAAATGTTGTGAGCTTCTCAGAGAGTTTTGGCTATGGTAAGTATAGAAATGTATGTGATGATGATGATGATGATGATGATGATGATGATGATGATGATGATGATATCACCACCCTTATGAATATGCAAGCCCCAACTGGGGCCTAGCATGCCTTCTGAACCCAGGCACTGGGGGTTGAGGGTTAAACAACCCTTGTATAACCTTGAAGCAGACTACCCTCAAATAACTGCCACCATGTGGGTTGAGATGAAATGGCAAGCCATGGCCAGGGCTTGAATAATGGTGGCTGGCGTGCACTGCAGCACCTTGAGGGTTAATTAACCCACAGCATGCTGGCATGTCATCCAAACCAGGTCTCTCTGTCGGCCGCTGTTCCCTTGTCTCAGGCTAACCTACCTCACAGGGTAGGTGTGAATTTAAAACAGGGTTGCAGGGAGACCTTAGAGTAAAAATAGGGTAATATTTCTTTTCAAGGCTCAGGTTGGAGGCAGCTGAGCATGATGCTTTGGAGTGGGCTAGGGCTTATCCCACCTGCATTGACTCTTCCCTTTCCCTTTCCACTCCCCTTAGGATCTCATTGAATACTCTGACCCTGAATGTGAAGAGTGAGAAGGTTTACACGCGACATGGGGTCCCCATCTCAGTCACCGGCATTGCCCAGGTAACCAGCTACCGGCTCCACCTTGAACTCTGCTAGGGGAAATGATGTATGATTGGGAATAGGTCTACTCAGAAAGCTGGGGTGGCGTTGCGGTTGGAAAGCTGGACTGGGACTCGGGGATTGAGGCTCCAGTCCTCATTCTGCCATGAAACTTACTGAGAGACTTTGGCCCACTTACTGCCTCTCAGCCTAACCTTCCTCACAGGTTGTTGTGAAGAGACAATGAAGAGGAGGAGAATCATGTAGAATAACCCAGCTTCCTTGCAAGAGGGAAAAGGTTCAAGCCACAAATAAATGTACTAATAAGTATAAAACCAAGCTGTTTGTTGCCCCAGTCATACAGTCCAAACTGGGTCCATTTTCGCTTCCATTACCCTGGATTATACCAGCCACAGATTTGGACCACGCCCACCCCCAGAATAGTACCTGCTCCACCTCAGTCTCAGTTCCTTCCCATGGCTTCCAGCTGCAGAATGGTCTTTGCCCCACCCCCACGGTCAAGCGCTGCTTTGGCATGGCCCCTGTCCAACGTCGCGTCTCACTCCACTCGATTTGTCCTGACTTACAGCCAAGTGGTGGCTGTGGAAACATCCCAGTCAAAGGCACTCCTTGAAGAGGGAGGCAGGAGATGGCTGGGTCCCAGGCACCCTTTCTCTTTCTCTGCTTTCCTCTCTCCTGCCCCGATACAGGTGAAGATCCAGGGCCAGAACAAGGAGATGCTGGCAGCGGCTTGCCAAATGTTCCTGGGCAAGTCGGAGGCTGAGATTGCCCAAATTGCCCTGGAGACGCTGGAGGGGCATCAGAGAGCCATCATGGCCCACATGACTGTGGAGGTGAGGCTACCTGTGCACCTTTGCTGGAGGGGAAGGGAGTTTTTGTCACTATGTATCCATGCATGATGCTGCCCAGAAGGAAAACATGCGATGTACCTCCATGAAGACTTGGATGCACCCCTTCTCCCATGGAGATGGAGACTGCTCCTTCCCTCAGCCTGGTGTCTTCCTGACTGGTTGCCTTTCAACTCCCATCGTCCTCATCCAGCATAGCCATTAGCTGTGCTGTTTGGGAATGATGGGGGTAGTAGTCTGGAAACCATCTGGACTGTGTCAGGTTAGGGAAGGACTGCTTTAAGAGTTCGTAGGCCTGGACACATTCAGCAAAGTCAGATGCCTCTTTGGAATATTTCCAGGCCCTGGAACACATATGTCAACAGGCTTTGTTGGAACTGGGGGAGAGGAGATGATAACACTAGTAGCTCTTCTTGCCTGGTTTGGAGTCTGGAGATGGAGAAATCTCCCCCTTTTTTCTCTCTGACACACTCTGCTGTCCCTGTTTGCTCAACAGGAAATATACAAGGACCGGCAAAAGTTCTCAGAGCAAGTTTTCAAAGTTGCCTCCTCTGACCTGGTCAATATGGGGATCAGTGTGGTCAGCTACACCCTCAAAGACATCCACGATGACCAGGTAGGGACACTGGAGATGGCTGTGGATCGAGTCAGACCCCACTCTAGGCTTTCCAGAATTTCAGGAAGATCCTTTCCCTGGAGGATGCAAAGACATGTGTTCTGCTGCCGAGTTATGCATAGATCTGGTCCTGGATCCTTTAAAGGAGGATGTGATCAGGCCCCTCCTGAAGAAGGCAACCATAGATCCAGAAGATTTTGACAACTAGTGGCCCGTGGCCAACATCCCCGTCTTGGACAAGGAGCTTGAGCTGGTGGTGGTGTGCCAGGCACTCTGGGAGGAAACAGTGTTTGGTGCAGTCTGGCTTCAGGCCTGTGCTTGGTACAGAAACAGCCTTGGTTGCCCTGTGGGATGACCTGTGCTGGGAGACAGGAGTGTGACCCTGGTGGTTCTTCTGGACCTTTCAGTGGCTTTTGATACCATCCACCATGGTATCCTTTTGGATAGGTTGGCCAGGTTGGAGACACTGCTTTGCAGCGGTTCCGCTCCTACCCGACTGGCCGATTCCAAAAGCCGGTGGTGGGGAATGTGGCTCTGCACCACGAGTATTACGTCATGTAGTACCGCAGGGCTCCATATTATCCCCCATGCTGTTCATCAACTACATGAAACCGCTGGGAGAAGTCATCTGGAGGTCTGAGCTGAAGTGATGGCACTCGGCTCTACCTCTCCTTTTCATCCAGTCCAGGTGTGGCTGTGACTCTGCTGAACGTGTCTGAGTGAGGTGAGGGACTGGATGAGGGTAATCAATTGAGGCTTAATCTAGACCAGACGGAGGTGCTGCTGGTAGGTGGGTCCTGTGTCCAGATGGATGACATCCGGCCTGTCCTCAGTGGGGTTGCACCCCCCCGAAGGACAGAGTTGAGAGCTTAGGGTGCACCTGGACCCAGAGCTGTCCTTTGAATACCAGATGAGCTCTGGGGCCAGGAGTGCCTTTTAGCATCTGAGGCTGCGTTATCGCCTTCGTGCAGAACCTGGACAGGCAGAACCTGGCAACAGTGATCCACACCCTGGTAGCCTCTCCTTTGGGCTGCTGTCACGCACTTTATGTTGGGTTGCCCTTAAAAATGGTCCAGAAAGTGCAGTCGGTTCAAAGTAGGGCAGCTTGCCTTCTAACAAGAACTGCAAGGCATGAACCTCTCACTCCTGTCTTATGTTATCTGCACTGGCTGCCAATTGAAACACAGTGGTACCTCGGCTCACGAACGCTTCGGTTCACAACCAGATCGGGTCACGAACAAAAATTTTATAAAAATTTTAACTCGGGTCGCAAACTCTGCATTGGGTGGTGACCATGATTGCGGCTCCCCCCACCCCCGAGTGGGGAGACGGCCGCAGTCATGCTGGGGGCGGGCAGGGGAGGTGGCCAAGATCGTGCCCGTCTTTCCTGCATGAGCGTGCCCGTCCCATGGCCATCTCCCCACCTCAGCACAATCATGCCTGTCTCCCCCCCTGCAGTGTGCCCATCTTTCCTCCCCAGCGCACCCCACTTGCACCTGTCTCTCCCCCGCCCCAGTGCACCGGGATGACGGGCGTGTGCAAGGATGATGGGCACGATCGTGGTTGTGCTGGAGGGGGCGGGGAGATGGCCACGTCCTCTGTTGTTCTTTGTCACGTTGCTTCCCATTTTTCTGATGAAAAAAAAAGTTACAGAACGGATGAACCTTATTTACATTGACCCTTATGGGGAAATTTAACTTGGCTCACAACCATTTTGGGTCATGACCAGAGTCCTGGAACAGATTAAGTTCGTGAGCCAAGGTACCAGTGTACAGGCCCACTTTAAGGTCCTTAAATGCCCTGAATGTTTTAGGGCTTGGCTATCTGATTAAACATCTCCTCTCATACACACCTGCCTGGACCTAAGGTCATTGTCCAATGTCCTTCTCCAGGAGCCCACCTGTAAAGAATGGATAAAGGATAAGGAAGGTGGCTACTAGGAGAAGGGCCTTTTCGGCTGTGGTGCCCTGTTTGTGGAACCTGCTTTCCAGAAAGGTGTGCCTGGTGCCTAAGCTCTACACCTTTTGGTGCCAGGCTAAAACTTTATTTTCTCAGTATTTTAATTGTTGAAATTTTATATTTTATTTTATTGGGGCACTGTGGATTAATTATTTAATTACTATTTATTTATTATTGTCATTGGTTTCATATTCTGTTCTTTTATTGGTTGTGTACTTTGTTTTTATTGATCATGATTGAGAAAATGTTCTTGGTTTTATCTTACTGTGACATTGGGTTTTGTTATATTTTAAATGTTTGTAAACCATCCAGTGAGCCAATCAGCTATAGGTATTGTATAGAAGTGTTTTAAAGAAATATAAATATAAATAAATAAATGCCCTTTCCACTAAAAATAAAATAAGACTCCAACCCTTGTGGTTCTGAGTAAAGGGTTGATTTAAACTGGAAACTTCCATGTACCAAGTCAAGACCTTCTTGCTTACTATTGTCTTTACCAGGAGTGGGATGGAAATAGATTAAGATCTACTGGTAGATTGCTTGGGTGTATTGTAGTAGATCCACAGGGATTTCTGCCTCCCATGTTGTTTAACAGTGGCAACAACAAAAAGCATCCCACATCCCAAATGAAGCTGCTGAAATGGTAGGGGGAATTTCCCTTAATTTCCCCTGAACACCTGAAGGGGAATTAAGGAGAATTTTGTATTGAGAGGACGGTGGGCCCACCTCTGGTGCTGAATGCAAGATCTTGAGCAGAGCATGTGCTCCAAGGCACTTTTCCTTTATTTTGACACCGTTTGTTGCTGTTGATTTGGGGAATAGGGAACTTTTCTTATGGCTGTTAGATAACAAGGGAAGGTGCCAGTGGAAACAAGAGAAGAGTGAACACTTGCACTACAAGATAGTCTGCTTAGCCCAGGAAACCCTTGGATAGGGTCACTGGTAACACCAAGCAACACTCTGCTTTTCCTACGTTCTCTATTTCAAAACCTGTTGCCTCCTTCTAGCAGCCGCTGCAAAAAAGAGGGTAGTCAAAATGTGTCAGGCAAATGAAGTTATATTGTAAGGCACCTTAAAGGTTTGCATGACTATAACGGCTTCAGAAACTACACAAATTCCTTCAGCAGGCAAGTAGATTAGTGGAGGGGAAATGGCTAGAAGCCAAGATTCTTGGATAACTACCTGGAGGATTGCGATTTCTGGCCTGTTGTTTTTTATCTGACCAGCACAGCTGCCAGGCCTCTGAAGAGTCTGAACTCTTAGGAAGAGTGAGAGGAGGGTGTGAGCGAAAGAGAGGGGCAGGGCAGGGTGGGGAAGAGAGACAGCCAAAGAGAGACCATGGTGTGTGTAAGTTGCATGTGAACATCCGTGTGTGCAGGCTCCTGGTGTGGTCCTCAGGGCCAAAAGCAATTTGCTTTACAGAGTGCATTTATCTAATCCAAGTTGGGCATTATCTGGGAACAGTCCCAGTGTTAACACTGGGCACTTTAGGGCAGCTGTCAGGGCCCTCATTCTGGCCTAGTTCTGGCCCTAACCCTGGCCTGGTTCTCAGACCCTCCACACAGGGCAGCTGGGTTTGTGTGTCTCCATTTTGATCTCCTGCAAGGCCTCAGAGTGACACTGCATTAAACATTTTGGGGTGTTGTGGAAAATTTAAAATGGCAACTCCCAGACATCCTTGGTGTCCTGCTCTCTCTCTCCCCACCCCCCACTGCAGCCAGATAAGACTGAGGGGGAGGGCACAGTAGGGCACTTTGTATAGGAGCCCCTCCAACTTGGAGCTGTCCAGGTCCAGCAATCCAGTAACAAGGCCAGAACAGGGGAGGGAAGGTCTCAGCTGGCTTACCGGACTCCATTTGCAAAACGTGGCTTTTCTAGGTATTGAATTTGGCCTTGTCTTTTTCACAAGTGCTTCTGTAAGCACCTCTGACTATAATTTCCCTCTCTTGGCAACTGTAGGATTATCTTCACTCCCTGGGGAAAGCCCGAACTGCTCAGGTGCAAAAGGATGCCAGGATTGGAGAAGCTGAAGCCAAGAGGGACGCTGGCATCAAGGTGAGATCTAGCATCATCCAAAGGTTTGGGACATGGCTGAAGACTAAATGGCCCACTTCTACTAACCTTTGGCAGCCTTCCAGATGTATTTGGACTAAAGCCCTGACTGGGCATGATGGAGGCTGTGATTCCAACATCTGGAGGAAGCCAAGTTGGGAAGGCTGATATTGCTCTTTGCTCTTTCCTTTAGGGTTTTCTTTACTGACTTGCAAGATGCCCACCAGACTGTGGGTTTGTATCTCTAAGATTGGCTCCATGTGATGGAGTGGGCGAATGCCACCCCTCATTTCCCTTCTCAGCTGGCTTGGAGAAGCTGTATTTTTGTGTACAGGTCCTCCTCCAGTGCAGCTCTGATCCCACAAGTGGATTCTCCCTTGCTCTTACTGCATAGGGCAGTGGCAAGAGAACTGGGCTAGGGCTGGGAAGATCTTGATTCTAGACCCCCCCTTGACCATGGAGCTCACTGGGTGACTTTGGGCCAGTCGTGAACTCTCTGCCTAACCCCTCTCACAGGGTTCTTGTGAGGTTAGAGAGCAGGATTGTGTAAGCTACCTTGGGCTCCTTGGAGAAAACAAGCTTAGCTCTGATCTAATTTAATAGATAATTTTTATCATAATAGCCACATCCCATATTATGAAAAATAATAGAGATGCAACAAAGTCAATAGAGAGGCAGTTCTGTTGTATTGCAACTGAATTTTACTGTGTTTCTATGTGAACTGTTTTCAGGGCTCTTCAAGGGGCCAAAAAGCCAGTGTTAAAATGAGTTTATAGCTAAGAATTCACCATTAGAGCAATCGCTCTAGAAAGCCTTATTTTATGTTAGACTCTTGGATCCCTTGGATTCTCTTGCAGGGCCGGCTCTACCATTAGGCAGAGTAAGGGGACTTCCTTTAGGAAGTCATGAAGGAACAGCAGATTATTTGCTATATGCAATTTGTTGTTGTTGTTGCGTTTTTACTGCCAGGAAAGAGGAGAGGCCCTTGGGAGATCTTCTGCCTCAGGCACCAGCATCCCTGGCCTGGCCTTTTGCACTCTGCATCTTGGTTTAGGCAGCTCTGCTCCAGGCAGAGAGAGGTCTTGGGCTCTCCCACTGCTGCTTTCCAAGGTCCCTTTTTAAAAACTGCTCCCGGAGGCCAGGACCTCTTCTGGTGTGCACTATGGCTGAGCCGTCTTGTCCTCTCCACCTGCAGGAAGCAAAGGCCAAGCAGGAGAAACTGTCTGCTCAGTATCTGAGTGAAATCGAAATGGCTAAAGCGCAGCGGGACTACGAGCTGAAGAAGGCCACTTACGACATTGAGGTGAACACAAGGAAAGCCGAGTCCGACCTGGCCTACCAACTCCAGGTGAAGCAACTTTAGTAATGGACAGTTGTGCGTAATGGTGGGGAGAGAGATCCACGTAAGTTTACAACAGCCAGTCTATGCTTTGAGATCTCTTGCTGAAGCTCTTCTTCAGATACTTTCTATGCTGGAAGTTCTCTTTGTAACTACAGAGGTGAAGACTTTCACAATAGTGCTGCCAACTCCCGAAGTTATGAATTGCCTCTTTGAAGAAGCAATAACAATCTTTTGAGCACCAGATTAAGACATTTATTTTCACAGGCATTTTAAACTTCACAGGCATTAGATTTCAAATTTAAAATGCCTTATTTTCACAGGCATTTTAAATTTGACAAACGTCTCCGCCTACTAGGTGCCTTTAGCTGCTGTCTCATTTTATGGTTGATTGCAGCTTTATTGTATGTGTTACTGTGCAATCCTGTCGGTGCTGAGCCCGGCCCCTAGGCCGAATTGCTCTGGTGTCCATGCGCTCAGTCCTCCTCTGGTGCATCCCATGTTAGACAGGACCTTGAGCGCCTTTAAATTGCATTTGCTGCAGAGATGGGAGCAGAGAGGCCACTGGATAGAGTGGATCCATGGCCTCATCCTTCCCGGCTCACCAGCTGCCCCATGCCTTTCTTCCCAAGGTCAGAGCTCTGCCTTTGGGAAAGGGAAGTGCTTCAGAGTGAGTGAGACTTGTAGGGATGGGGTGGAGGGGACGCCACACCCCAGTCTCTGCTTCCCTGCTCTGTCAATAGACTCACAGAGAGAAATCCTCAGGATCTTGCTGCTCCTCAGAAAGTTGTCTCAGTCCTCTCTTAGTGTACCGAGCACTTTGAAGAAGTAGGATGTTTATCACTCCCAAGAGCAGATGGAAAGGTGTTCTTGCTGATTTTCCCCTAGTTCTGGAATCTTCCTTCTCTGGGGGTCCTCCCACAGTTGAACATCTGTAGGGAGTTCTTTAAATCTTGCCTAGATCTAAAGGCTGGATTAAAGCTGTCACAAAATGCCCACACAGAAAGCAATTCAGCACAGGAAATTATACATGCTTTGCTTATGTTTGGTCACTTGCCATATAAAGTGCATGTATGTAACAGTTTGTCTGATTTGGATGTCATGACAAGCTGTGATTAATTTAAAAAATGGAAGCAAAACCTTCCAAATCCCTCCTCACAGCTCATGCAAGCCTGGAGGAAGGTTGGCTCCTTCTCATAATGCCAAAATGGGGTTTAAGATTATGCCTGAACCCCTGCCCACTGCCCGCTTCAGATTCCTGGGATGCGTTGGCCTTCTCAGAAGATAGGTGTCCTTCTCTTGTCCCACGGTGCTGTTTCCCTAAGGGGAGCCTGAGCCACTGTCTCCCTCCCCCGTCACATGCTGCAGGTGGCCAAGACAAAGCAGAAGATCGAGGAGCAGAAGATGCAGGTGCTGGTGGTGGAGCGAACCCAGCAGATTCAGATCCAGGAGCAGGAGATGACCCGTAAGGAGCGTGAGCTGGAAGCCAAGGTCAAGAAGCCTGCTGAGGCAGAGCGCTACCGGCTCGAGAAACTGGCTGAGGCTGAACGGTATGGGCAGATGTCTCACCACATTTTTCTTGCCCATTGGAGATCAATTTGTGGCTCTCCAGATGTTTTGACCTACAGCTGCCCTCATCCTTCATTCTTGGCTGCAGTGGGAGCTGTAGGCCAAAACATCTGGAGGGCCATGTGATGAGCACCCTTCCTCATCCTCTCCTCTACAAAGATGCTAGTTGTTCCTTGGTCCCCTGTAGCCCATGGCTAAAACAGGGAACCCGCAAGCCCCCAGGGATGTATCTGATAATGAGCTGTGCCATCTTAGATTGAAGGGGGGGGTGAGTTATTATCCCATAAGCAGTCTGAATGTATTATCTCATCATCCTCTGTAATGTCTCTACTCATCTGGCCAAGGCAGGGCTGAACAAAGAGCAGATCATGTAGTAAAGCAGCTTTTAGGCTGTGGCACTTGAGGGTTCATGTGGGCAGGGTCTGCATAATTGAATTCTTTAATTTCCCCCCTCCTTCATCTCCTCATATACACACACCCCTACCTGCTCAAAGAAATTAGGTTACCTAGAGATATCTAAACTCAAAGTCTTAGGTTTAAATACCTAGTTTTCTATGCTTGAGGATTCCTAGGATGGTTTTTCTGCCCCAGAGGAGCATCCAGGCATGTGGTTCCCCTGCCTTCAACCAGAGGTAGTACAGTCCCGGACGAGTTTCACCCAGTGTTCTGCTGTTCTGTGCAAACTGGCTCCTGGGCCAAAGGGACTGGGGAGCTCACTTCGCATGCTCCCTTTCCACCCCTTCCCTAGAGCTCTGCCCTGGCCCTAGGATGTGGTCAGCGGGGAATCCAGCTTCAGGTGTGCCTCTTGGAGAAACCTTGCCTGTCCGTCCTCAACTCCATCTCAGCTCCCCATCTTCTCCCCCACCCCACCTGTTTTCATCCTCAGGGACTTGCTGAAACTAATCCAGGCAAGCACTCACAAATGACAGCTGTCAGGAGGTGGGGCTCAGAATACCATTTCTAATAAACATGGGTTGGTTTTTTTCTGTGTCAGCGTGTGCCTATACCGGGCACCCTCCAGCCCCAAGGATACTTGTGCTCCCCTACACCCTTCTTGGTTTATAGAAACAGAGCAAGTCAGAAGGGGCCCCCGGCTCCAGGCCGCTCTGCTCACGACATGCCCACCATGTGCATGTCCAGCCTAGCCTTGAACACCCTCACCGATGGGGCTTCAACCACCTCCTGTGGAAGCCCGTTCCATACTCTGGCGTTCCTATTTATCCTCCATGTCGAGCTGCTGTAAACCACCAGACAACTTTGGCTATTGGGCAGTTTAGAAATGAAACAAAGAATACTACAAACAAACAATAGTGGCCACACCTGAATGGCCAAAACAAAGGATAGAAGAGGAGAGTGATTTGCTATAAAAAGGGCACACGGCAATCTGTATGTATACGTTCACATTTACATTTAAAAACCATTGTTATTGTACAAATAGAGATGCAGTACACTTCACCATAGTGTAGAAGGATGATCCAGAAGGCCATGCCATGTTTGCCGGCTGGGTGCCAGTAGTCGATGGGCCGTGGCTTGTGCAGTTTCGCCTCTGCACCCCGGAGTTGCACAGGGCAGCCCCTGCCACAGAGGATGCCTTCAAATGCAGGGCAGGTGGCCGCCCTGATCAAGAGGCAAACAGCCATGAGGACAAGCTCCCTGGCTCCCCTCTTTCGTGCTGGGCGGGAGGTGTGCTCACTCTCCTTCCTCCTCCAACAGGTCACAGCTCATCATGCAGGCCGAAGCAGAGGCTGAGGCGGTCAGGGTGAGTGTGTCCCTTTTGCGAGGCGGACTGAGAAGGGGAGAGAGAAGGGAGGGGAAGGGGAGCCAGATTACACTGGTGCGCCTTTTCCTTTGCTCTGTAGGTGAAGGGCGAGGCTCAGGCCTATGCCATTGAGGCCAAAGCTCGGGCTGATGCCCAGCAGATGACCAAGAAGGCTGAGGCCTTTAAGCAGTACCAAGAGGTGGCCATGGTTGACATGCTTCTGGAGAAGCTTCCAGAGGTGAGTATGACCTTTTTCCTTAACTTGCAATAAAGAAGTGGAGACTATACCATAAGCAACTATGGAGGAATTGGACCGATGGCCCTCTAGCCCCTTCCAACTCTACTATTCTATGATCCTGTGCTGTTCAGAAGAGAAACCAGTAGTAAGGGTCAGGAGTAGTTGGAGTGTTGGTCTGGGACCCAAGAGATCTGGGTTCTATTCCCCACTCATCCATGATGCTTACTGGGCAGCTCTGGGCCATTCACTGATGCTCAGTCTAACCTAGACTAACCTAGATGGATAAAATGGAGAGGAGGTGGATCGTGTAAGCTGCCTTGGATTCCTTGCAAGAGGGGAAGAAGGCAGGCTGTATATGTGATAGATGCAGTAAAGCAGATAGCGAAAACATAGAGATCAGGCAGGGTACAGGGACCCACCTGGACCCTCTCTGGTACCCTCTCTGCTGTCTTGGAACACATCTTCCATCATCCCCCATGTTGGTTGGGAATGGTGGGAGTCGTGGTCAGCACATCTGGAGGGCACCAGGTTGGGGAATGCGGTGCTTGCAGAGTCACATAGAAGCAGACCTTGCACTTGGAAGAATACACGGTCCCATTCCTGAGGGTCATTTCCTTGCCAAGGTTTTGCAGATTCTGTGTCATGATGAACTTTTCTTGCAGAATAAGCTACAGACATCAGCACTTTTTGGAGGCATCCATTTTCTGAGTATATGTCCTTTATTTAGACTTCAGTTACAATAGCTCAGGTGCTTTAAGAACTTTCTTAAAATGGGGAAACAGCATAGTAGCGTAGTAGTAGAAAGGAACTATTGAGTGAGCAGGTCATTGTGGGTCGTTAATTATCTAAAAATGAGCCTGTGGTCAAAGGCACAGGAACCCACCTTAATGGAGCTTTTACCAACATGTGCGCACGCACATTTTAAAACGTCACCACCCACAGGTAGTGTTTCCAAAATGTTGTTATGAACCATAAGGACTAGCTGTTCGGGGGCCGGCAGGGTGATCACCTGACCAAAGTCAACAACCGTACAGAGCAAGCCTATGAAGTTAGTCCCATCAGGTTTTCTGGGGTTGAGTGGGGCAACAGTTGATTCTATGCAAATGGGTATGAGAAACGCATCAATAGTAACATTAAGAATAGCATTGCATATCAGAAAAATGACAGCATTGGTTCTCAAGGAAAAGGGCTATGTTCTTGATGCTTGCATGTGTTACCTGGCGCCTTGAAAGCCTCTAAGCAAAAAAAAATATTCTCAATATTCTTGCATGGTAGGGAATCCCTGTTTTAAGATGGCATTTGTCATCTAGTATCGCAGAGAATAATCCACTGACCAATCAACGGGGGGCTTTCTTTTTAGTCAAGCAGAATGTTTTTTAATCAGCTAATGCAATTGCTTCATTAACTAGATGTTGCAGCTTTCCAGTCGGTTGTCCTTGTTGCTTACTGTGGGTTTTATTTGGATGTTCTCAAGTCTAGCCAAGTTGCCAAATTCACTAGGACATACCAGATTCTCTGTAGAATGTGACTTATGTGTGCGCCAATCCTTTTTTATTCTCTCCTCCACCCTCTAGATAGCTGAAGAAATCACCAAACCTTTGACTTCAGTGAATAAGATCACAATGGTGTCGAGTGGGACTGGGGACATAGGAGCCACCAAGATAACCGGGGAAGTCCTGGACATCATGAATAAACTGCCTGACACCGTTGAGAAACTCACAGGCGTTAGCATCTCTCAGGTACCAGAGCTGGTGTGTTCTGGGGATCAGGGGCAGAAGCGACAGGAAGAAGCACCCTTTGCAGCAGCTGACAGACTCTAATAGATGGAAGGACCACCAGCAGTTTCTCTGCATCCCATCTGAGTGTGTGGAGATGCATGTCCTCCAAGGAGAAAGATGCTCCTTGGAGCGTCCTTGTCCCAGATTGTAAAGAGCTCCACAGTAGCGCATCCAGGCATCTAGTGGGGGTCCTGCAGAATCTGTGCTGCCTGCTTCCTCCACTGAACATCCAAAAATCAGGCAGGCTGCCACAATCTGTACCAGATTCATCTTTCAGGCAGCTTTCACAGAGAGCCCAGTGCAGCTGTAGTATGCAGGAAAGAGGGAAGTATAAACATGTCTGGAAAACCTTAAGGTTTGCCAAAAAGTACAAAAACATATCTTGCCGCTATCCAAAAAAAGAGGGGTGGGAAAAAGAAAGATAATTTGGTTTCAGATCACAGTTCCTTGATCATCCAAGGAGAAAGTGGAATTCTAGGAATACTTCTATACATTGTTGTGGTTGTTCCATTTGCATTCTTAGGACTAATAGTTTTCATCTTCGTGTTTCATTTTGTTTCCTGATTCTGTTTTTTCAACAGCTGAACCAGAAGAAGCCAGGACGAATGAACTAAATACTGAAGATTTGGGGTGAGAGAGAGAAAGCCTTCCTGAGCATGAACTCCCACCGTCCTCATCTGTGTGCATTTGTAGAGTCTTTCCCCATCCAGTACCCCCTTCAGAATTGCCAAATCTTTATGGGGCTGAATGGGTTGCATGTTGGCTAACGATATTTAAAACTGCTGAGGTCTGTTATGCTGTTGTACAGCTGTTGTATCCTGGTGACACCTCAGTGCGTACCGTGGAGTATCCTGGCATCCATTGCTATTTGTGAAGCGTGGTCCTGTTGCTCCCGTCCATTTAAACCCTTCCTGATTCATGACCACTGTGCACTTGATTGACTCCGGTTCTTGCTTCGTTGCCTGGACCCTCCTGGCCATCACATACCTCCTCTTAAAAGTGGTGCCTCTCCAAGGAATGAAGAACGGATCTGCTTCTGGAATTGCCAGGAAGGCAACTGGAAAATAACTTGCATGGAGCTGAAATCTGACGCCAGTTCTTTTGGAGCTGGTTGTTGCTGGATGCTTTGCTACCAGGACTTTTTAAAGTCTTTTGCTTATGTAGGGCATGTCAAATGGTGGTCTAAGGAGTTGTGGCCTATATGTGAAGATACTTTAAGGGGATCAGTTTTCCGGTACTGACCAATGCTTATAAAAACCAGTGGTGGGCACAAACATAGCCCTGCCTAGCTATATATAGCCAAATCTACCTGTATTTTTCTATGTACATACTTCCTACCTACCTTTGTGCCATAGTTCTGGGTGTCACACACCTTGATTTCCCCACTTGGTAGAGCTCAAATTATTTTTTCCTTCACCTTTTGTTGCTAGTCACACCCCCACACACACACCAAGATCTCACTCTCACAGCTTTTGGGAGCATGTGTTTGCAGCTTTCCTTCACTAAACCACAAAAGTAGACTTGTGCCAAAGGCACATTTAACACTCTCTGTGTTCTGTTGGGCAGAGCTGGTTGACCACTGTGGGATGGAACTTCTTGTGGGCCAACAGAGTGAATGCATATCTATCCTGTCTAACATCTTGATGTGCCTTATATCCATTTTAGCTTCTGGAACAATCATGCATCACCACCTGTTCCATGGCTCAAAGAAAGAGGATGGATACATGCATAAGCTTTTAAGAGTTTAATAATAAAGAGGATCACATAGTGCAGGTTTTCCTGGCCCATCCCCAGTCAGATGTGAGGACTGGGGTGAGAAGAAGGTTATTTGTTACATGTAGGAAATTACCTTCTTCTGAGCCTTGTAGGAAATTACGTTCTCCCTGCTTTGACCTGTGAATTTTCTGCATATGAGGAGCTTTTATGTGGGAGAACATTCCAGTACAGGATCCTTGCCCTGAAGTCCAAAACCAGAACTCTGTGCCACATGTAGATGTATCTTCTCACGTAGGTGGCCTTGACACAAGAAGGTTGGCCCTCTAGGAGGTGGCTGTCCAAGCAGTGACAATCAGTTGTGTGTATCCTGCTTCCCCTTACCTCCATCAGAATGGGTAAACACCAGAAAGGAAAGTGTCCAGAGCCTCTCCTTTCTGCTAGGTGGCTTTTCCTAATATTCTGGACTGTTGCAGGCGCTCCATGAGCTGTGGGTGCATGGATTCTGCTCTGATGTGCTCTCCACGGGTGGCCCAAGCTGTGACAGATGCAGCTCACTTTCTCAATGATTGGATTGCTGTCACTCTGTCAGGGCCTGGATGCCACCCCTTTAATGACGACGGTGACGTCACCTGCTTGTGTCTACAGCTCTTGCTTGCTGTGTAGCCCACCCTCAGTGCAGTGCCTTGTCTCTTACCGTGGGGTAGGAGGTGCTCTGTCCTCTGTGCTAGCGACACCCTTGGCTTGTAATAAACCCCGAGATTACCAACTCTGGCTGCGTGTGGGTCTTTACTCTCCTCACCCCTGTGCACTGGGCGTGTGCAGAAGTTCAAAAACATTCCAAGTTGGGGGGATTTTGCTTATCTTAGTGTAGCCCAATAATCATATAGAAACTGGCAGCTGAGTGGCGGAAATACCCAGCTGTGGCCTAAACATTCCACAAAAAAGGCCCTTAAAATGAGATGTGCAAATGATGCACATCAAATGAGCTGGGTGGAGAGGCCTGTCTTCCCGCAGCTTCCATTGTTCCTTCCCCCCACTCTGCAGGCTGGCCTCCACCCCACTTTCTGCGGTCACCAAGTCAGTGCCAATTAGGGGTGAGAGCATCCAAGCAGGCCTCGATGAAGCCTCTACACATCGTTTTTCCAACTGCTTTCACTCGTAATTCCGCCTTTTCCATCCTCGGCCAGCCATGACTGCACCTATTGTTAATTGTCTTCCTGGAACTGCCAGCTGCAGAGGTCAGCCGGAGCCATGTCTGGCCTCGGGGGTCAGGCTGGGCTTACCCACCAAGACTGTGTCTTCTGTTTGAATGGGGAGCGGTGGAGCTGGGTGAGCGGCAGCTCAGGGTGAAATGCCAGCTGGAAGGAGTAGCCGATTTCACAGCGGCCCCGATGGCCGGAACGTGACAGATGCAGCCTCGCAGGAGAACAGCGGCAAACAAAGAGGCTTATTTTCTGGGCCTCCTGAGCGTGAGTCACAGCCCTACTTCCCCTCTGGTGTGATGAGATGCCCTCAAAGCCTGACCTGGGTCAGTCATTGCCGGGCCATGGTAGAGGGGGACACCTTTTGAGGACGTGCACTGAGTTTGCTGCCAGAGCTACGTATAGCAAGGCGAGGGTGAGCAGGACAGAAAGCATAGCAGGCTTCCTTGGAGGCAGTAGACCGGGCTTTCTGTCCTCCTCCGCAGAGGGTAGTCTTCTGGCTGAAGGTATTTTGTCCAAACCTGATTTAAAGATTAAGAATCAGAAGAAATGTTGCCTGTGCAGGCCCACAGATCACACTCCTCTTCCCCACTGTGGAGACACGGATTGTTATCTCTGGTTAAAGTGCAGCTGTTATTTCTAAATGCATGTCTAAACATATGAATAAGCAAATGAAAATGTGCAAGCTGGAACCCTCCTTTCTGGTGCCTCTTTACAGCTGAGGAGGAACTGCATCTTCAAGTAGCTGGGCTGGGGGGCAGGAAGGGGCCCACCAGGCAACTTAGCTTAGGGGAATCTATCTGACCTGAAGCTAGCAGAGTCTGTAGGATGGAAGCTTCCTCTAAGGGGAGTTCCTCTTTGTCGCTTGCTTGCCTTGTTCAAAACAGAGTAAACCCTCAGATTGCACTTTCTTTCTGAGAGTGCATCTATTTTAATTTTAAAATCCAAAATAATTGCAAACAGTCTCACACACTGAGGAGCAGCACTCCTTTCAGGAGTTCAGCAGGCCTAAACTCAGCCTTCCCCATCTGGTGCACGCCTCTGAGACTACAGATGCTTATCCCAGTCAGCTATGGGAATTGAAGTCCAACACATCTGGCAAACATGAGGCTGGGAAAAGCAGGCCTACCTCTAACTATCGCATATCACAAGCTTAAGATGCTTAAGATGTATCCCCCAAAGCTGCTTTCTGGCAGGATTCCTCTCTGTTGTGGCAGGCACAAACTCAACAGCAAAGTCTTCCTGACCATGGAGATGCACCCGGGAAGCAAGCTGAGCCTGTAGAACTTCTGCCAGCAGCTCTGCCAGGACACAGGGACCAAGGCTTGCAGTTGCCAATGAGAGAAAAACACAGAAGATCAAGCATCTCTGCAATTTCCATTTTCTTCCAGCCCTGGCTCCCTTCTGTCTGGCACAGAATGCAGACTGACTATATCCAAGAAAGGATGGCATGCAAAATGCCTTGCTTAAAATGCAGGATTTGAATTTGACTGTAAATCATTTTGGCCTTTAGCGTCTGTGCTTGCGCGTCACACTAGGTTGCTATGTTAGAAACGAGGCTGCTGCCTTGTGCCACCTTCTGTTTATTGGCACGGAACTCCATCTCAGCCAAAGAGTCCTCCCTGCAGGACCTGTTTTTGTTTTGTTCTGTTTTCTTTTGCTTTTTTCAGAGGGGTGAAGTGCAGTTGAGCGCTTGAAATCTCCAAGGGAGAAGACGGCATCATCCTGTGCAGCCCAATAATTCTGCCCTCAGCAGTGCCAGCCTTCTGAGAGTCCTCCATCAACAAGGGAGGGGGAGGAAGCAGGACCGGTTTCTAGCTATTCAACCCCCTTGCAGTGCCCATTAGAACTCAGGAAGAGCCCAGCTAGATCAGCTCAGGGCCAGTGCGGGCCAGTGACTGGTGCTGGGAAGACCACAAGCAGAGCATGGATGCGACAGCACCTTCTTCCTCAGCAACCCTAGCAGCTGGTATTTGGATGCACGATGCCTCTGGCGCTGGAGGCAATATAGGCTCTGGTAGCCATGGATAGGGCCAGCCCTCCCATAAGGTGCAGTGAGTTCACGTAGTGTTGTGGGACCAAAAGAGCACCGCACACTCCCCACACCCCTGCTGGGGGCCCTCCCCACACCTGCCTTCAGCTGGTATGCCCAAAAGTCCTGCTGGCCACTGTCCCCAATACAGGGGCATTTGCCCCGCTGGAAGGAGGCGTCTCTTGCTGGCATTTTACCAGCCTGCTGCCGCCATTTGAGAATGTCCCAATCACCCGTTACCCTTGAGCAGACAAGAACAATCTGGTTGCTGCAATGAAAGTTGCTCACCTTGAAAGTAATAATGTGGAAAGTGAATTTTGCCAAGTCATACTGGATAAGGACCAATGAATTCAAACAAAGTAACTGCAATTACCTATCTATCCATCTACATGCGCACGCACACACACACAATTCTGTACGAACTGATATTAAAATTGCCAGTTGTGAACATGAGAACCTCAAATCTGAACTACAAGTCAAAAAGATATTCAATTCTATCACTTATGGCTTAAATCAGGATAAGGGTTTATCTATGTTAATTATTTTCTATCTGTCTATGCTTTTACTGACAACTACCATTTATGAATGGCCATTATTAATAATTTAATTTCACAGTCTTTACTTCCGCCTTTTCAGTGAATACACAGTTTATCACTCCCACCATCAACCACATGTAAACATCCCTGTATCTCAGTACTCCTCAGACATCTGAGTTGTGAGATGGAAGCAGCTCACAAAAACCTTTGCCATAATAAATTAGTGTTTAAGGTGCCACAAGACTCTTTTCAGTTTAAGCCAAGTGGGTTATCTGAACAAAGCAGATAAAATACTATCTTTTAATTTAGAATTGCTAACTTCCTATCTTCTGTTTCCTTCCAACTGTCCAGTTGTTCTCAGAGCTCCATTGTTCAGTCTTATCTCAGAAGAGACGCAATCATATGGGAATCCTATAACCTGAAAGAGTATGTTTGCCTCCCTTCATTTTGACTAATTATCAAGGTATACTTTGCATTTTATCCTATACCTCTTCATGTACGGACTTTACATTTCTCTAAACAGACATATATATTCCAAATGGCTTAGGACTAGGGCGTTCTGGTCCTACGATCAGCTTCAGCAGAGGTCAGGTTGGTTGGTGTGAGAGACGAGGCCTCCTTGGTGGTGGCTCCGAGCCTCTGGAACACCCTTCTGAGTTATTTGCACTTAGTTCCTTTCAGACTTTCAAATGGTTGCTAATTTGTTTTACTGTGTGTGGCTCTGAGCAATTTTTCTCCTCTCTTCTTGTACTGAAATGGTATGAATCCCTTTAGTCCTACGATACCATTATTATCTTAATAATTTACCTGCATTTTATGTCTCAACATGTTCATCTACGTATCTTCTCTGTAGTATATGCTGCTTTGCAAGGGCATTGCACTGAACAGCAGCCTATAAATATTTAAATTCCTATTTGGTAAATCCAACAAATCCCAGTTCCTCCTTGAAGCCCATGTGACCAACACATTCTTCCCTGGCCCTGCTCTGGTGTCTCCGCTTTCCTTTTGTCAGGTTCCCCATTTCCTGTTCTAAAATGTAAACTCCTTGAGGGCAGACACCTGTCTGTTTTCACTTTTTGCCAAGTACACTAAAGTTGCTAAAAACAAATAATGAGTAATGAGAATAGAAATGCTAAATACTCTATGTAGTAGTTGCTGGGTTGGGAAAGTAAGCAGGAGTTAGGCAGGGGGTGCGTGAATTTTGGAAAAGGTTGGTCCGCACTATTGATCTAAGGAGTCAGGACCCCGAGGGTGTGGAATGGGCTTCCACGGGAGGTGGCTGAGGCCACATCGGTGAGGGTGTTCAGGGATAGGCTGGACGTGCACATGGTGGGCATGTCGTGAGCGAAACTGGCTGGTGCCGGAGGTCAGACTAGATAGCCCGGGAGACCCCTTCTGACTCGCGCTGTTTCTATGTTTCTATGTAAAAGGTGGGAAGTCCTGGAAAAAGACCTGCAGTATTGGAGTGGAGAGGCTGCCGACAAGAGGCTTAGAAAAACAGTGGTATCTAATTAGGATTGCCATGGCAAGACACCCATCCCTTCCGCAGCTGCTTGGCAGGCTGTAATTCAAAAGGTGCAGCTTCGCATGGTTTGAGGCCGTAATTCAAAAGGTGCAGCTTCGCATGGTTTGGAGAGGAGCCCCATCTGTTGGATTTCTGCCCATCGTGCAGCTGCTGAAAGAGGCAGCTCTAGTCCTTAGGAGTGAGTTTGGGCGCTAAGGCGGGAGAAGGGCAGTAAAGCCGCTCCTGCGGCAAGATGCTGCAATGGTCTCCTTGCTGGCTAGGCTCCGCCTGTATAAGGCGAAGGCCGATAAGAGGGAAATTATCGAAAACCAGGACCCAGCGATCCGAGACTAACGGCTGGAGGAAGAAGCGGGAACATTCCCTTTGCGTTTGGCACGACTAAGTGGCGGCACTCCGTGGCCGACACCATTTCAAGCGAGGCGGGGCGCCCCCACTTGCTGTAGCGACAGGAAAACCTCTCCCCTTGTAATAAGGCTGCTCCATCACGGACAGACCGACCCTACATGCCAGTACTTGGCGCCTCAGCTTACTGCGCGGAGGGAGGTGACGCGTGCCTGCGTGCATGTGCAGAACCGCGCAACGAGACGCCCTGCAGCCTGCAGTGGTACAGGCCGGAATGCGGCCGCGCCGATCCCCGCCCGCCAGCGCGGCCCCGTGCGCGGCGGAGACCTTCCAGCGCAGGGCGGAGCTCTCGGCGTGGCTCCGCCCCCGCCCGCGGCCCCGCTCCGGGCTGCCACGTGGAGCGCCGCCCCCCGGCGCCGGCCTCCCCCGCCCCGTCCGCCGGCTACATCCGCTTCCGTCCGCATTTTGCAGCATCTGCTCAGCAGAAGCAAGCGGTGGGGGCTGGGGAAAGATTGCGGCTAGGATTTGGGCTTCATTCAGGCGCCTGGGGAGCCGCCTTCTTTTCTAGCCAGCCGCTCCCATATCTCTGAGCATGCATAGAATACATTTACCGCATCACCGAGAAGCAGATGGCGAGGGTAGAAGCACCAGGTTCACAGTAATGTGCTGCAGGAGCTCAGGCAGCCTTTCTTAAAATTGCCATGTGCATCATTATCTCACTAACCATGGGATAAGGAACGTACGTCAAAGTTAGAACAAAACGGGAAGCATGGAAGATCAACCAGTGCTGATAATCTTTTTAGGGTGGCAACGGTAGGACAAAAAGACCTGCTGCTAGGTTTGTTAAGTGCTGAAAAAGATCTAAAATGTCATCGAGGCGAGGCTTTCCCAGCTCGGTGCCGTGCAGATGTGTTGGACTGCAACTGCCAGCCATAGTTTGGGGAAGCTGGGAGTTGTAGTCCAGCACATCTGCAAGGCACCAAGTAGGAAAAGGCTGATCTAACAGCCCGCTGCCAAAGCAAGAGCTTCCTGACTAGAATATACCCGGAAAGTGGGCATCCATCTTCTATTCCAGATCCTCCAAGGAAGACATAACCTGCAGCTTGGATCAATCCTTCATGGCACAGAACTGTTCTCTGCATTTGCTCGGAAGTACTGCTGGTTTTCCCTATCTTTTATCCTAGAAATTCCTCGTTGGAAAGCACAGTGGTCCGTGCCCACGTTCATTCCAGCCAAATGCCCCTTCTGCCACATTTGCCCCTTCACACTGCAGCCACCCAGAGAGGAAGCACCATCCACCCAGCAAGCAGGGGCACACGTCGCGCAGTGAAGGGAAGGTTTTTCAACGTCGCGCAGTGAAGGGAAGGTTCTTCAACGTGCTCAGGAAGGCTTTGTGTCATAACAGCCTTGCAGTAAGAATAACCCGAGGCCTGAGACACCTTGAGATATTAACACATTCATTATGGCATAAGCTTTTTAATTAAGCAGTGAGGCATTTCAGCTGAAAATCACAGCAGTGTTATTATCTTAATGGCTGCTAGAACATGAAGATATTTACATTGCTTGCTGTTTTGTCACAGAGTGGGATTTTTTTTAAAAAAAATACTCTTCTCGCAATGACACATTCAGACTGGATGAACATTAGCAAATACGGTATCATTTATTCCCTTTGAACTGAACTGCTAAGCTGGAAGAATCCTTTTGTGTGACTCAGATTGCCTCTAGCCCTTGAAATGATTGTGGCTTCACACAAAGGTATCCTGTAACTTGCCATTTTCTTCATGTCTTCCCATTTTGTGGGCTTAAGATGGCTACCAGAACTGATCAGACAGGATGGGAGACAAAGCTAATGATGGTTCCAGACACAATGAGCCTTTAGTCATACATAAAGCAAACGTTTTGAATTCAGCGGGCCTTAAGTTAGTCATGGTCATCACATCCCTTTGATTTCAGTGTCTACTCCATTTGTGCCTGAATCTGGATCAAATCCATTTCTTGGCATGCAGGATGCTAACCAGCAGCCTCCGGAAACTTCATAGTTGCAGTGGCATGAGAAAGATTCTGCAAAGGCGCTACACTCGAGTAAAACAGCAAGCCAAATGGGATGGGATTCATTTTTGAAGATTGACTCCACAGCCACAGACAAGCCTTGAATCCATAAAGTTTTGGCTCAATTTGTTTGATACACCCGTGTTCATGTTTCATACTCACCCAGTAGCAGTACAGGGAGGGTGAAATAACCAGAGGCCTTGGGAATAAGGGAAATTATGTGTCTCCAAAAAAGGGGGAAAAAACCACAACTGCATCCAGGTATCTTAATTCCACTTCTAGCTCATTTCTTGAAGGCTCACTAGTCTTCCCAATGGTCAAGAATGGAGGGCTACTTGGAATCCTTGCCTGTAGCACACAACCCTTTTGCAAAAGCCCCTGCATACAAAAGCATTAAAGGGACAAGAACACCCCCCAGAAAAAGCAAAATGGTGGCAGCTCTTTCGTGCCCATTTGAGAGTGGCTCACAATCCAGCTGTTTGAAGGCCACCAGGGTAAGGTTGCAACTTCAAGTAAAATTCCTTTGGGATGGTTTCTTCTTGAAGCAATCCTCATTTTCTCCAGTTCTTGAGATGGCATCTTGAGATAGCAACCCCAAGATCCTCCCCTCACCATTGCAATTTCTTTCCAACTTTTTAAGTGCTCTCAGTCTGTATGTGGCCAATACTTGGCATTGTGCAAAGACCCAGGCTCAATTCTACACACAGGTGGGGAACTTCCAAGATCTGTTGGCCTATGGACATTAGGGGTGGTGTGATTAGAAAGCACCCCATCTCTCTCACACACACACACCTCTCTCTCTCTCTCTCTCACACACACACACACAGAGCTAGTATAACTGCCCTGTGCTTCCAAAAGAGCGTATGATCAATCATGGGTGATGGGATTTTTTTTCTGTATATTCCAGGAAGCGGAACAAAATAATTTTGTTATTTTTATGTACAGGAGGTGGCTTTTTTTTTCTTTTTTTTTTTTGGGTGGGGGGGAACAGTGATAACACTCAACACAAAAAGAAAACATAAAAAAACCCTTTATTTCTGTTCACAAGACATCTTTTCAATATGAAAAAGCAGGTTTAAAAAAAGATGAGGGGGAAAATGAGGACACGGGGCTAGGGAGAGCAGAGGTAACAGGCAGTAGAGACTGAAAAGCCGCGAGTGGTGGTAGAGCCTCTCAGCTATCACCGTTTCAGCCAACGCAGTTCTGTCACTTTCTACTCAGCCCTCTTGGAGCTGACCCACTTCCAAGGGGTTTTCACTTCAGTTTTCATTCAGATTTAATTCTCCTGTTACTACACCTTTGACAAGCATTATAGAAGTTTGCCTCTTTTAGCAGTTCTTGAGTGGTAATGAATCCCTTTGCAATCTACTCTGGTTTGGTTTTCTTCCAACTAGCAAAGGCAAGCAAGCAGATGCTATCTCAAGAAGCGTCAACCCATCTTCCTAAACCAGGTACTCCCCCAGCTATGGCAGACTACAAGTCCCACTGCCCTGGGTTGGGTTCAGACATATGCAAGTCAGGGCAAAAAACCATTTTATGGGGCAGATCTGTGAAGCAGACCGAACACGGTAACTGGAAAGCAAGGGCTAGCCTGCATTCGCAACTGCTTACTCCTATTCAGTGAGCAGATGCAAGCTTCACAGTGAACAAACACCTACTTTTGATTACTTCGGGGCTTTGAAAAGGCAAGATCGGGCACAAATTTACTCTAGCTCAGGGTCAGGAATTTGTACCACCTCACGTTTTGGTTAAACCAGAAACAGTAAAAGGCACCTTTAGACCTCATACTTTGGGTGACTTTAGAGCAGAGAACAGAGCAGAGATACTCAGGGACACAGATCGTGAGGGGCATAAGCGTTGTTGGGAAGGAGGCAGGGATGCGATGCTCAGCACAGCTAGTTTTTATACTCCGGGCATGCCAAGTTAAAGGCACACAGTAGGCAACACTTGACTATTCTTGGAAAGGGACTCCATGGCCTCCTACATGTGGTTGGACTAGATCTCCCACAACCCCTGGGCAAGGGCCATTTTGGATGGAGCTGATGTGAATTCATTATCTGGAGGGTCACAGCTTGCCTGCCCCTACTCTATGTTATTAGTGGTTTACAATGTATGCCTCTTCTTCCAATGGCAGTTTCTTCAGAGATAAGCACCTGGAAGGTATTGATCGCGAAACCAATATAGGCTTACTAGGAGAGGCACCCACACAGACCAGACTGTTTTAGCACTGTTCCTACCGACTGCCCGAAGGCAGAAAACCTTTCTTGTCAGGAGAGCCAATTTGTGGCCATTTGGGTCAGTAGCTCACGCCAACAGAAGTCAGACAGCACTGACATAACACTACACTTGGAAGGGTAGAAGCCTATCTTTCAGGAACACGTCTCCATTTTAAAACAACCAACTTCCACTTCTGTGGTTACAAGCATCAGGCAGCCCTCCCTGACTGTGCTGGACTATGACTCCTATCATCCCCACATCCAGCTTTTACTTGCTATCAGCCATTAGAGGCCACATTCACCACTGAGAAAGAATGCGCAGAAAAGATGAGATGATCACAAGCCAGTGTTGAAAAATGGAGACCGCTCCATGAGAGAAGCCCAGAGAAGAGATTGACAGACTAAGCTCGAGAGGAAAGGAAAAAGAAATAGAACATGGAGATGCAATTTTTTTTTAATTTTTATTTTGTGCGGATTGATTTGACTTTATTTTTTAAATGGGATCAGGTTAACCTCAGGCTTCCTCCTCAGCCTCCTCTCCGAAATCCTCTTCCTCTTCGGCTGTGGCATCCTGGTACTGCTGGTACTCTGAGACCAGATCATTCATGTTGCTTTCGGCCTCCGTGAACTCCATCTCGTCCATGCCCTCACCTGTGTACCAGTGCAGGAAGGCCTTGCGCCGGAACATGGCTGTGAACTGCTCAGAGATGCGCTTGAAGAGCTCCTGGATGGCTGTGCTGTTGCCAATGAAAGTGACCGCCATTTTCAGGCCCCGGGGAGGGATGTCACACACGGCTGTCTTAACGTTGTTGGGGATCCACTCGACGAAGTAGCTGCTGTTCTTGTTCTGCACGTTCAGCATCTGCTCGTCCACCTCCTTCATGGACATCCGGCCACGGAAGACGGCTGCGACTGTCAGGTAGCGCCCATGGCGGGGGTCGCAGGCGGCCATCATGTTCTTGGCATCAAACACTTGCTGCGTCAGCTCCGGCACAGTCAAGGCCCGATACTGTTGGCTGCCACGGCTGGTCAAGGGAGCAAAGCCTGGCATGAAGAAGTGGAGCCGGGGGAAAGGAACCATGTTGACTGCCAGCTTGCGAAGGTCAGCATTCAGCTGTCCAGGAAACCGGAGGCAGGTGGTGACACCACTCATGGTGGCCGAGACCAGGTGGTTCAGGTCGCCGTAGGTTGGTGTGGTCAGCTTGAGGGTGCGGAAGCAGATGTCATAGAGGGCCTCATTGTCAATGCAGTATGTCTCATCCGTGTTCTCCACCAGCTGGTGCACCGAGAGGGTGGCGTTGTACGGCTCCACCACTGTATCAGAGACCTTGGGAGACGGCACCACACTGAAGGTGTTCATGATGCGGTCAGGATACTCTTCGCGGATCTTGCTGATCAGTAGGGTGCCCATCCCAGAGCCGGTTCCACCACCCAGAGAATGGGTCAGCTGGAAACCCTGCAGACAGTCGCAGCTCTCTGCTTCCTTCCTCACCACATCCAGGACGGAATCTACCAGTTCAGCGCCTTCTGTGTAGTGGCCTTTAGCCCAGTTGTTCCCAGCTCCACTCTGGCCTGAATGAGGCAGAAGGCGGGAGAAAAAACAGAAAGCCTGGACTAAGGTGGGCAGTGCTTCTCCCTCGGCTACTAGCTATTCTTTGCTTTCTAGCCTGTTCCCAGAACATTCCCCTTCAGTCCATCTCCCATCAGTCTCCAATGGGGCCAACACTGCAGGGCACCAGCAGAAGCTCCTCAAATGGTGTTTGGACTTTGCACATGCCTCTTGTTAAGGAGTGTGAATTCTGCTGGGGTGCCCGTGATCTTTCCCCATTTTTCCTGCTCGTCATGGAAGACGCACATTCCATCAGGCCAAAGGTCCCCAAGAAGGTTCTATGGTAAGCTCTGCAAATATGCTCAATAAGCTTCTGCAGCCTGTAATTCAGAGGTGCTCAGGATTCAGGGAAATTGTATTTGCCCTTACACGTTTTGAAGGCCACTAGCTCGCACCCATAACACCAAAGTTTACAGGGACGGTTGGGCAGTCACAGGCCAAGGATCCAGCCTACTCTCTTCCCCAACACTGGCTTCCCAGTTTTTCTAACTCCTTTGCTCAAACCTATTCAGATAGTCACAAGCCCTGTATCTTAGTCACAAGCCCTGTATCTTTCCCCACAAATACCAGGCAAAGGAGCAAAGGGTGTGCAAGGGCATCTTACCAAAAACAAAGTTGTCTGGCCGGAAAATCTGGCCAAACGGCCCAGACCTTACTGAGTCCATAGTTCCTGGCTCCAAATCAACCAAGATAGCACGGGGGACGTATTTTCCACCTAGCAGAAAGAAGGGGCAAGTATATGTCACATCTGACAACACAGCAAGAGAAAGATTCCTCCAGTGCCCATCTATAATACCTCCCATGAGAATGTGAGCGCTATGCGAAGCTCCAACTCCCCCAAAATTGGCTTTGCTCAGCTTTCCGACCACTTTCAGCTCCAGGGCCACATCCCACTTTGGAAAAGCGGCTGCATTCCAGTGGCCAGTAGGTCCAACCCCCCCACCCCCACCCCACCAGCATACTTAGGCATAAATCTCTTACTACTAGCAGCTAAGTGTAATGAAGCACCTGCACAACAGTTTGGAAACCACAAATTAGTTTTTAGTGGAGAGCAGGGCGAGACCAGAGGAAGGAGTTCTAGCCTTCTGGGGAACATTGGAGGGATAAATAGAAACCCCGGAGGGCTGCATCTGCACCCCAGGCCTTCATTTCAGCACTTCCGCTTTATGCATCAGAAGGAGTAGTGGAAGAGTGCAGAAATTCATTGCAATGGAGGGTAGCACCAATGCAAGAAGAAATAGAAGCAAGCCTCAATATGGCCCTGGTAAAGGGGACGTAACCAAAATGCTTAAGTTGCCTGATGCATTTTGGGAGAACCCTTCCCTCAAGAGCACTAGAATAACGCCAGAAACTGAATTTAACATGGGGCAACTTCTTCCTGAGGACCATTCTGATACTTGCTGCTTTGGTTTGCTCTCAAGAGGCTGGATGTGGCACACAGCTTGGATAGTATAAAGGCTTAAAATACACAATCTTTTGACTATAGCTCTGTACACCTTACTTAATCCCTTGCCCTATTCATGTCTCTTCGTGCCTAAGACAAAAGGTAATGGACAGAGGAAACAACAACAGAGCAGCAGCAAACAAGGTACACCAAGTAGGGCTCATGCATACGGTCTGGAAAAGTGAATTCTGTAGACAAAGCCACTGCAGCACATCAGTGCATGTGCTGGAGAGGAGAGGAGAGGAGGAGGGATGCTTACCAGTGGCCTCATTATAGTAAACACTGATGCGGTCAAGCTGTAGGTCGCTGTCCCCATGGTAGGTCCCAGTGGGGTCAATTCCATGCTCATCACTGATCACCTCCCAGAACTGCAGGGAAGAAACGGAAAAGATGCAAGCTGGAGTGTGTGTACAGAACTCAGGGTAACAATGGCGGACGGCAGAGACAAGTGCCACTTCCCATACGGTTGGCGTATTTTCCATCCACAGAAGGAACAGCCTGCTCAGTTGGAGGAAAGGGAGCCCTTGACAAACCAATTCTGCAACGGTTTCCAGAAAGCACTCTTGTAAATCAAAGGAAGTGCACAGGGCAAAAGTTTGGGTTTTGAGCAGCCTTTCCCAACCTAGCGCCTTCTAGATGCTCTGGACTACAATGCCCATCATCAGCGCTAACTGGCTGACTGGAGCTGATGGGCATTGCAGACCCATCCTCTGGAGGTTACCTGGGGTAGAGGTGAGGAAGGAAGAGAAAAGGGCATCTTCTTAGATGCTGCCTGAAGTCATGTCTACTGCAATTAACTTTTGAGGACATGCTGCCTGGAAAAAAACTGGCAGGGGGAGGATGGGATTTATTGATTAAAATTAAAAACCTTTAATGAAGAAAAGTCGCCCCTTTAATGGGCACACCACCTTTGAACTAACAGCACAGGATGAACTGCAAGCATTCAGCAGAGAGAGAAGGGAACTCTGCACATGGTTACTTGCTGCCACCTGAGTTGTTCCCAAGTGGAACCTGCACGGTGAAAACTGGTTCTAGGGCCCACCAGCATCTCAGTAAGGCCTGGGGATAGCTGTGCGAAAGCACGGATGCGACTGGGAAGCATCCACACCAGGCCTCTTCCGTAGCCATCCTGCAAAAGGCAGCTCAGCTCCACTCGTTTCATCAGAGTCATGTGCTCCTTTACACAAGAGGCAGAGTCAGTCTCTCCCTCTGAAAGGGCTGAGGGCTAACTCAGCCCCTGGAGCAAACAGGACAATGATTGCCTTCTTCCCCTGAAGACGAGCCATGGGAAACCGGCTCCCTGACCAGCAGGTCTTGCCTCCCACAGAAAGGAGCAACCCTGCATCTCCATCTCCCTCAGCTAGGACCCATCTCCACCCAAGAGAGGGCCCTGGCGCTCAGCAGGCCTGCTGTTATTTCCAGCAATCCCCACAGCTCTACTCTACAAACCTTCTAGCTGGAATGATCTCTCTCTTTTCAGAGAACCTGTAGGCTTCGTTTTAGACTGAAAGAGCTTTAAGCTAAACTATGCTGGCAGTTTGGGTCCCACCTCTTTTGGTTCCACCTCCACCCACCACTGAAATAACAAAGAGGTGATCAAAAATGGATTTCAGCTATTAAGGCTGAAAGAAGTTGTCCTCCCCTGCATCAGAGCAATTACTTCCCATAAAACACCTTCCTCCGCTTTCCATGTCAGCTTGCCTACCCAGGGCCCCAGCATCATGCAGACAATCTCGAGCAGCTTGTCAGATCAGGGGCTGGCCAGGAGCCTTCTGAATCTCATGTTATCTCGTGAAAATGGGAAACGACTCTTGGAATACCACTAGCACCGGCCACACCTGGTGGTGACACCACAGGAGTAAACGGGGAGGGATGAAACCTCGGCCACCATTATGGATCATCTTGAGGAAAGGTGCTTTACCAACAGCTTGAAAGCTCATGTATTAGTCTTTGTGACCCAGTTCACATGTAACCACAACTGTGGGTTAACTAACGATCTATGATCACCACAACCTATGGATGGTTTCTGAGTTAACTTTAAACGACTAAGTGTCCATGTTTAGACCTCAGTCTAGCAAGTTACAATGAGATTGTAGGTTAACTGAAAGTTGCCAGAGGCAGCATGCTCATTCCTGCCAGACTTTGGTAATCCATTGGTCAATTAACCTGAGATGCAAACCAGGTCGTTCTATATGCTCCACGCAAGAGTACAGAGACTTGGTGGAGTGAGGTTCTAACAGGATGTCTATGCTTAACCATGCTCAAGACCCATTAATGCCACTGGGAGAGATTCCTTTTGGATAGGCAGCATTCCTGGCTCCTCAGTCCATTATTATATTTCAGGCCAGCTGCTTGGAACACAAGCAAGGTCTCAAACATGCACCCAACAAGCTTTCCAGTCTCTGAACTGGACAGATGGCAAAGGACTGAGGCTAAGCTGCTTGTATCCGGCCTCTGCCAATCAGTTCCCACAAGGGATTAGAGTTCTTTCTGAAAGCTTGAAGCCCTGAAGCTCCCCAGCATGGGGAGGAGAGGGGTGTGGGGGTGTCTGGAGGGGGGTCATGGGAAAGTAAATGCCAAGTTTACCCAAGGAGAGCCTGAGGTTTTAATCCTCCCTCATGGTTCACAAGGAGAATCTCGTTCAATGTTACTTTGCCCAGTGGAGTTCATCAGGTGGCTGGTTACCCAATTTATCAGAATACAAATAGAGCAATTCTTTTTTCAAATCCTTTATTTCTCAGATGCCTGCACAGGGGGAGTAAGCAGCAGGAAGGACTGCAAACCTCCTGAGAGTTAGAAGCCAATCCTCCATCTTTTCAGGTGCCTATTCCCAATCCAAATCATCAACCATGTGTGCTGGGACTGATGGACACTGTTAAACATTAAAACATCTGAATCTAAATTTAGCGGAAGTGGACAGGTGCAGGGAAGGAAACATTTTTTCTCAGACTCCAACATTGATGGAAGGAGACAGGAAATGTGCAGGAAAAGGTCAGAAATCCAGATGTCATCCTGAGCAACTCGGCATCTAGATTCTCTTTCTAAGTGCTGGAGTGAGTAGACTGAGAGCAAGGCTGGAGGTCCCTCAAAGCTTGAAAGCCAACAGGCAGCCAGAGCTAACAGTCTCCCCGCTGCCACACACAGATCTGATGGGTTACCCCACCCTTCAGTCTGCTACACTAGAAGAGAGAGCAAAACGGAAGAGCAATGCCAGCTTTAGAATACACTCCATGAGCTGCATCACCACACAGACATGTCCAGATCCTTCAGTGCTGCACCTCACTTCTACAAAACTTGGAATAATGAGATCCAGCAGGGAAGAGGCTGCTACACAAGCCCATCTGCCCATAGGGTCTGGTGAATAGGAATGAGGAAGGGACCCTGTAAGCCACTGCAGGAATCCATCCCAAACTAAAGGCAAACAGGACCGGGTTTTTGCGAAATCCCCCACATACCCTCTTGCCTCCACAGCTGTGGGTGGTGAGGACAAAACATTCCAAACATTTTTCTACACCCTGGTAATGGTTGACTGGAGGAACAGAGGCTGCCCAAGCCAACCTCCCATCTCCCTTCCCTCCTGCCCTCAGAGGGACCCTCCTAAGATGCCAGCTGCTCAGAAGGAAAAGTAGCCAGGTCTTTGCCCTTCCCTGAAGAGATCACACATGCAAGAGCTAATTACCTAATGATGATGAGCTATATCCTCTTGATAATTCTACCCATAGCTTTCCATGATAAGACCCTAATTTAAAAAAACAAACAACCCTGGGGATGATTTGAGACTATTGCCTATTCTTTTTCTAGAAGGAAATGAGGCAGCCCAGAGTCCAACCTAAGGCTTAGGGGTTTGTGCCTGCTTCCTACAACTTGGTCTCTGACCTAGGACCCCCCTTTTCCCAATCCCCTTCTTACTGCAGCACTCCACTGCTTCCTCTCATACAGATATAGACCCCAGGCAAAGAGCTGCTAATTGCTTATCATTCCATTCCTGTTTGTCCTTGTTTCATCTTGCAAGGAGCCCAAGGCGGCTCGGCTCACGCACTCCTTCATCTCCATTTTATTCTCCCACCACCCCTGTGAAGCAGGTGAGGCTGAGAATGAGTGAGTGGCTCAGAGTCACCTAGTGCCCTTCATGGCGGACTCTAGAGAAGGCAGCCTTCCTGGCTTTCGGTCCAGCAATTACCCCACACAGGCTCAGTGTGGGCCCATTCCTCTCGAAAGCAAGCGGCAGCAGGCCTCTCAGTCTGCTCTTGGGCATCTGTTCTGCACATTATTAAGGGGAATGCATTGCTCCACAGCCCCCGTGGCTCCTCGTACCATGACGCAGGGGCCAAAAAATCCCATAGGAGTCAGTGGGAAAAGCTGATGTTGCCAGGCCCTAACCTACTGCAGCCTTCCCCAACCTGGTGCTGGATTGGACTACAGCTCCCACTACGCTTTACTATTGGCCAGAGGAGGCTGATGGCCAGGTTGAGAAGACCAAATTCAAGTCATGGCTCCAGTCTACAAGTAATTGCTGACCAGAGCAAGCAACCCAAATCACCGCCACAAGCAGTTTCACAATTATCTTAACCAAGATAATTTACCCTTTGCTAGCAAATCATTCCCAACTGGGGCAGCTGAGGTCACTACTGATGCTTCTCCAAAGCTTCAGCAAGGAGCCCCCTAACTCAATGCAAGTATTGAACAAGAGATAGTTGCTATTCTGTTGTGTAGCCCTGCGGCTAAGAGGCTGAGCTGTAAAGCGGTTCAAATCTGCCCTCGGTCATCAACTCAGTAGGGGGTATTAGGTAATCTGCTACTGCTCAGCCTCAACACCACCACCCTCTTACCCCATCCCTTGCCCACCATATGGGCATTAGGCAACCTACCCATCTTACAGGGCATTAAGGACTGCTGAGATTAAGTATGTCAGGGTGGTGTAGAAATGTAAGAATAGAAACATGAAGCATTCTCTGGTGTGTAGTTATTCTAATGTCTTGCTGCAGTCAACACGGTATGCATATTTTCAGAATTACTCCCGTGTAAGTTAAAAATTAATCCCTGTGGCTGAGAACCAGTCTTTGCCCAGACAGGAGCAAAGCTCCAGTAGAAGATTCCACCAATGGAAGGCAAGGAAGCACCTCTCAGATTTCTCCCACCTCACAGGTTGAGGAACCCTCTGGAAGGTGAAGGCTTAACTGGCAAAAATAGCTCCCTTTCCACAAGGTCTCAGCCTATGAATGGAAGGGACGCCTTCCATTTGCAGTAGCTCAGGTAGGATGCAGTCACTGCGCTCTCAGAAGACTGGGTTTGTAATTCAGGAAAATTCTATATACCCGTTGGAGAAGACCCATCAGCCAATCATTCTGCAAACTTTCTTCCCATTGAC